AAGACCAGGTAGTGACCAAATTGTCACTTTTTGAAATTTAGTGACCAAATATTTGAAATTTAGTGACCAAATAGATATTATCCTTAAACTCAATGACCAAAAGTGTATTCTATCCTAACTATTATTTATATAATTTGTATTCCAATTCCAAAATGACTTTATTCTAGTTGATTTTTATTTCGATTCATACCGTGGTGTGTAAACCCTAAAAATTTTCTTGATAAAAAGTAAGTTAATCTTTACTGTTCTAAACATTACGAAAACAGATACTAAAATAGTAATTAATGCTTAATTAAGTTTCTACCTGAAGACGAGTCACAACTCACAAACAAGCTAGTGGCAATTAATTAATAGACGTCACTAACCTCTTCATTTTGTTTGTCAGATTTGCATGCACAGTTCTAGTTTTTCTAAATTATATATTTTATATCATTCTCTTTATAGTAAATTGGGTATGATTAAACGACCTAGTTTTACCAAATTAATTATAATTGATTATGAGAGGGAAAGAGTTGTTTGATAACATAACAAAATAGATAATCTTTTCTAATACACATTTATTGTGAAGTTGGAAATTTAAAAGAAATTGTTTTATAGTGTTAATTCTTATATTTAGTTGAGTTGAGTTGGCCGTGAGATCTGTACGTCCACAACGTCCTCGACCGTCCGATAGATGACCTATAGTCAATCAAACTCAACATCGGTGTGGTGCTTGTCCTAACACCCTCCGATGCATAATTTAGTACTTGATCAAAGTAAATAGAGTTAGAAATCAAGGAGATTAGTGAGCTAGTTGTTAGAGCACCTTACGACGGGTTTTTGTTCTCCTTTTATATTCCTATAGGAAGATACTCGATCTTGGTCATACCACCCGCCAGTGTGTAATCAGAGGGTATCGCATATCATCGTTAGTGTGAAATAATTTCTACACCACCATCGACGCTCAATTTTGAGGTCCATACCCAAGATTCTGACACGTGCCATTATGTCTAAGGACCGACTATGCAACCAGCTTTTATCCTCATGCTCTGTTATTGAAAATGTTTTATTTTTTGGTATTATTTTTTTATTCTTTCATAATTTCCTTAAGCATTAATTATTCATTTTGGTAATTTTTAATTATTCATTTTGGTAATTTTGTCCCACGGATTTATTTGAAATTTGTGATATATTTGATTGAGAAATTTGAGGGCTTGATGCTTTCCTTATCTTCGTGCCTTTTATTTTGCTAGCTTTAATTTTGATTGATTAATGGAATCCTTTCCTAAATCGGTGAGTGCTTTTTTTCTTTAAATATTGAAACGTGGTTAAGACAATTTAATGGTGACAACAGTATTTCTCTTACTTATTGATTGATCCAATTGTGTCTTACTTAGTTCTTGACAAATAATCCGTTTTCGATTTTGTCGATGAAAACCGAAAAACGGATTATTTATTCTCTTTTGGTTATATATGTTGCGAACGTACTTCGATTGAAGATGGTGAGTTTCATAAACGATTGTTGAATACACTGAATCTAACACAAGGAGAGCTTGTGAACGGAGATCGTCAAAGGGATTGGAACACGAGATTGCGACATAAAATTCAAGGAGGGAATTCTTTTAAACTTATGCATAAGACAATATGTACTGTGTACTAATCCTTTGGTAATCTATTTTAAGTCTCTGCACATGGCCTCGTGAGGTAGGTTGTGCGTGTGTTCATCTATCGTTTTAGCTTTGTATATTTTTAATATTTCTGCGATTCAAAATAATTTTTAGTTGTACAATGAAAAAGTAAATTTTACATTTATCGATAATTAGTTCCTTTTAATTATGATGGAACGAGAGCCTCAATTTACCTGTCTTCGACGAATTGCCATCACGTGGCACATAAAAATTTAGTCATAATATATATTTTTATCGTATACTCATGTTCTCATAAAAGAAAATTAAAATTAAAATGAGATGTTATTTTGATTGTTATTCACAAGTTTATAACGTGACGACGGTTGTCTGTTTGCAATGGTGGAAATATATAACACTTTCTTTTGAAAAAATAAACTAATTTAAAAAAGAAAATAAGGAGAGTGGTAGGATAGAGGGGTAGGCCCAGACCCAACACAGCACTCATCCCAATTTCCAACACACTTGAGAATTGAGATTCTCAAATTGTTTAGCCGTATCTGTATCTCTGTCAAACCTCTGAAAAATATCTGTCGCTAATTAATTAAATATATATTCCAAATTTTAATTTGTTTATTGAACCATCGCTTTGTTTTTGTTTTTACAAATTTATCTCGCAAACACGCGTTTTTACTTTTCCCTTTCATTTTCCATTTTCTTTTCTTTTTAAAGAGGGTATGAAAATTCAAACACAACGTTTCAAACAATTAATTAATGTCTTGACCAGTTTTTCGTCTCGGAGTTAATAATGATTACCAACTTTGTTACGTGGACATTCAAAATTAACTAATCTAAGAAAATAATATTTACTCCTAAATATATTCGGGTGTATTTGGTTAATAATCTAAAAATAAGAAATTCAATCAAAATTGAGTTTTTTCTTTTTTTTTTTTGTGTTTTCAAATATTTGAACTTCAATTTAAAATATTAGTATATTGTAAACTAAACGGATACAAACTAAATATTTAGTTAAATCTAAAATAATATTAATTAATTTATTAAGTTATAAATTTTGTTAAATTATTATTTACAATATTATATATTTTATAGTATATTTTATATTTTTTAATTTTAACAAAAATGAAATGGGTTTATAAGATATATAATATATCTATCAAAATTATTAATATAATTCTGCCTTTAAAATTTCAAGTTCATAATTTGAAAACAAAAAACGTAAAAATATTATTTTAAAAATTTCCACGCTTTGTATCCCAGAATCATTAAACAAAACGTAAAAATATTGTTTTAAAAATTTCCACGCTTTGTATCTCAGAATCATTAAACAATTTTCAAGGACAAATCTACTAAATAGTTATTCATTGATTCAGTAAATCCGAAAATAAGAAACAAAATCTGCATTGCATACCAAAACCCTTAGGCCGTCTGGTGCTTGAGAAACAAAGATAATTGTGTTTGGTTGTATATATGTCCGAGATCAAGATGCCTGAGATTAAGATGTCTAAAAATAAATTATATATATGTTTATTTTGTGTGATTACTCTAGAAATGTATTTTATGTCATTGTAAACATTGATTATGTAATGACCCCAATTTTTATATGTCATTAATAATATAAGATTGAGATAATTACTCGTAAAACATAATTTCATTAAAATAAAATAAGATAAAAACTTGTATTTTTCATCTAAAAAATGAAAATGATAACTTAATAAGACTTAACTTATAAATCTTTAGCAGCGGAAATCACAAAGTTATTATCTTTAAATAAAACAAGTAAAAATGTGGTATAGTCATAATTAAAAGTATAGATTATAAATAAAATTCAACTATGTCTCATATCTCCTCCTCGTCAATGCTCAGGTCATCCTTGACATTATTCTCGTTAACTATATAACTATCAATAAAAAAAAAATTGAAACAACATGGAATGAGTAAAAAAAAAATACCAGTAAGTCGTTCCCATCATAAGGAACCTTTCATGCTCAAACACACACATCATGCTTATATGCATGCATACCTCAACCTAACATATAAACCAACGAACAACTAACTTTAGATACTTGTGCTTGCTAGCATAAACTTACATATCTAAATCCTTAATTTGGCGCTATGCTATACAGAAATATCTCATACCATAACCGTCAATTCCGCATGTAATATTTATAGGATAATTACCCCCATAAATACCATTAACATGAACTAATTTGTTTCCTATGGCCTATCCTTTAGCAGAAACCATACATGTCATATCATACATCTAGCTGCATAACATAACTGTTTAATTGGGGTATTTCATGCATAACATTAATCTTACCTAAATCCATGAAACATAAGACTACTAACTTCACTACGAATGCAATGCATCACACATTATGTCATGCTTTACCTAAACATGATTTGCTATTAAACATACTTAAAATGACATGAGAAAGCCATAGAATCATAACATGCTTTGTAATACATAAAATTTAACCACCATCACCATTCAATAACAAAATATATTTAAGCAACATGAATAACATAATTCAATAACAAAACATTGCAACATATAAAATAATTCACTTACAACCAAACAATAATACAACAAAACATACAAAACGGTAACTTATGATAGAATCTACTACCTGAATTTCGTAAACTAAAGGAAATTCCTTAAAGCTTCCTAATAACAATTAACACAACTAAAATTAGGACTCAATTACCTAAACTAACTTTTTCCAATAAGTTCTCATAACTAGATATGTTCACTATTCTACTAGTAGAAATCCTTTAATAATTAATGTAACGCCCCAGGAATTTCACCATTTCCAAACAGGGACCGTTACTAAGCCTACCTAAAATTTTCACATAAACAAGAGAATTTTCTTCACAACAACACTAAGCAATAAAACTACCACGCTTCTGCTGCGCTACTCTGATTTCCAACAATCACGAGAGCTTGAACAATTAGAACAACAACACCAATGTTTTAAGAGAAACTCACATCCTATAAGATAAACCATTTAATACCGACTTCACATTAACCAAACCCTTCAAGGAAACCTTACTAACTATAAACCATCCACTAAATGAATATTAACATCTCGAAAGGCAATGAAGCAAAAGCTAATTCAAGTACGATCAACTTAAACAAATGTATTCATAAATATCCTCAGTGGATTACAATCCCGTAGTTCAAGAGGCTAACAAAATTAATGCTCTAAAAGAACAATGAATCGGCAACCTTACGATATCCTTTAGACAATAAAACTAAACAAAACCAACCACTACCAACTCAACTACAACATTAAATGGCCACAACTATCCTAACTAAAAGAAATTAATTGCACACAGCATAGCTAATGGTCTTTCCGATCAAGCCTCCTTCTCGCCATCACCATCCCAGGAGCTAGCTCGATACCTGCGAACTGGAGGGGAAAAAGAGGGATGAGTACAACCACAGTACTCAGTAAGCAGCCCTTATTTGAAGGTTCGCGCACAAACAGCATACTTATCAAGGAACAACGTGTCATGCTTATTAAAGAATCAACACACACATCATGCTCAACCAAATCATGAAACATTCACAGTCATGCCTTTCATCACATTATGCATTCAAACATAGACACATTCTATAAACTTCGGTGACAACCACAACCAGTAACACATTAACTACCAACCTCTAGTCTCCCTAACATTTCAAGTACCTCTACGCTTATCACAGCTACTCTAGCCTTCCACAGTTAACTCCTTCGAGCAGAGTCGGCCCCTGACCATTTATACCCAGAGCC